ACGCTGGGGTACGGTAACTGCTTGCAGCCCTGCACTCCCGGAGGCGCCCGGGGATGAGCTATGTTTTAATTATTGTTATAATTTTGAACGGGGAATTCTGGCGCTCGACGGGGGAGGGAAATTCTGCGGTGCCTCACCCTTTGGCAACAAAAATTTACATCCCCAGAAAAGGCAGCTGGCAAGGAAAAGCCAAATAAACCCGTGTGTTGATACATGATTAATCATTTATTTTCCTCTGAGTCAATAGATGGGAAATTCTACCATGGCGTCTCTCCGGGCAGCTCAGATCACCTCCTGCCCCTAACGTGGGGCCCAAACACTGCTCCAGTCATGTCAGCTGCCATGTTTTTGTCCATTCAAAACCCACACGTTAAAGCCAGCGCTACATGCTGGGGCCGGGTCCCTGTCACACTGACAGCCTGCACCTGTTGAAAGGAGTGTAGCACACAGGCCTTGCTCGCCTACCCTAATGAATAGCTCCCAGGCCAGTAACAGCAGGGTCGGGGCACCTGAGGTGGCACAAAAGTGTTTGTGTTTCCTCGTAAAGATCCTTGTTTCTTCGTGGATTTGCTGTGTTGTCTCAGACTTTCACGCTTTTATCTGGTTCATTGCAGATAGCGGCGGCTGAAATCCTTCAGGTCTTCAGTGCGCCAACGCACCAGCAACAGGAAAACCCTTCATGAAACAGGAAGATTTTGTTCATCCCTAAAGCTTTTAGTAGGGTGTGGTATAATTTCTCTGTTTTCCCTTGTAACCTGCAGGAAGGGACAGGTCTGGGTCTGCCTCATTTTTCTGCTGTGAGATGCCAATTGCCTAAGGATGGGGAGTAGGAGAGTGGTCCCACGACCTGTTCAGCTTTGCTTGGAGTGCAGGATTATGTGCATTGCAGGAGGATATTTTTAATGGAGAAGAGGATTGTAATACTATTGTAATGACTTTCGCATTATTTGTTTTTCTTTCTTCAGTATTTGAAGCTAAGGGGTTTTTAAAATCTCTTAAAGCGTTTTTTTAATTAATGTTTTACTCTAATTACTTTTCTGATTGATATTAGGCACGATGTGAAGGCGTGGTTTCTCATTCCATAATTGTCAGGGTTCTGAAATAGAAGTGAAATATATCCTGACACTATTAGAAACAACTGATTTTATAGGATTTTATTTCCATTAAATACTAACAGAAGTGGCTCCATCGTATTTTCACTCCAAAACCAAATGCAATTATTCTAAAATTATAACATATTCTTTTTCACTTCTCCCAGCCTCTGTATACACAAGATTCTTGCAAGCAAATTAGGCAGATCCTAAGTATCCATTCAGAAGCTGAAAAAAAGGTATTTGCAGATATTTAGTCTAAATTATCTCATCCTCTCTTAGACATAGCCCATCTTGTAGTTTCATAATAAACCCATCTTACCTTTCATGGATTTTATTAAGAACAATGAGTAAGCAAACATATATACACATCTGGATGAGGTATTTTATAGAACTTTGTTCAGCCATAGCTAGAACAGTGAAGGCAAGCTCACAATAAAGACAGAAGCAACCTATCCATTTACAAAATCACAAAAATGATACAGCAGGTTATAAGATAATTTTTCCAAGGAACTACTTTGTATTAATTTTTCTTGCATTCATAAAATTTAAGGATGTCATATATTGCTTTTTATTTAACCATGTTATCAGTAAGACCCTATTCTGGCTTTAGGCCATGCTTACAGGAAGTCACATAAAGAGGGCAGTGAAGCTGTTGTGGAGTACAGACATAGGAAGTTAACCATGGAAAAGCATGAAATAAGCTCTCTGTATATGTTTTTGCATAATAAAAGCCTCAGATTTTTATTATTCTTCTTTTATTCTCTTCATGAAAGCATACTTCTTAGAGGTGTTTCTTGCACATCTTCAGCATTATTAGGTATTCTGAACTCCAGAAAGAACTTGAAAACAAATACAGCTTTATAGTCTACTCTCAAGATGTATGACTAAGGAGTTGTAGCCTTCTCAACAGCACTGTTTTGTAGGCTTTCTGTCACATAAAGATGGGGAAGCTGAGATGTTGCATAACGTTTCTACTACCCATTCTGTATGCAACTCTGCTGACTTTTGTTATAAAAATACAGACTGCCTTTAACTTTCTTACCAGAATAAATTCCACTAATGATAAATCATTTAAAATGTTCCCACCTCCAAACTCAAACTCTGACCCAAGATTCTCCCAAGGGAGTGACATCTCTTTTCCTAATACTTCTTAAACCCTTTCTAGCCAAACTGGTTCATCTGAGAGTAATGTAGTAGATTTTCTCCTTTTGGTCTGGTAGGTAAGGTAACGAAGAGCTGGAAGCAGAATTCGAGTTTAAATCCATATGTGATGACACACTGAGAAGGTTCTGTAGTTCAAGGACTTCTTAAAAGTCCTTTTACAGTAATTTATTCATTTATTACCACCCTAATACTATCTTTGTCTGCATTTCCCTGTAGTGATCAACACTTTATTGCCTGCTGTTTCATGATGAAGGCCATGGAGGATCAAGTAGTCCAAGAAGAACCGGGATACCAGGATGATGAGGTAAATTTATGATTCATTGAAAACTATGTGCAGCAAATGTTGTTTCAAGGTATTTTGATAATGCTATGAAATCCAAGGAGAGACAAGAGGTCCCCAAAGACCATCAGGGAGTTCAATGCATTTAAAATTTTCTTCCAGTCTAATACCAAGAAAATCTCATTCTACTAGTCCCTGTACAGTCTTGCTCTTCAAGTGCTCTTCATTAACCTTTCAAAAGCTATGCAGAGTTTTTAATGGGATTATCATTATTTCTTTATATTTTATACTTCTATATTAAATGCAAGGAGACTATCAGTTAATTTTATGCTTCCAAGGAATGGTCATCATCCTGAAAAGGCTGAGGAATTGTGGTGGAAAAAATCAAGATGATGATGATGATAACACAAGTTTTTTTAGCACAGCAGAGGATTGCTTGCCTGTGAAGATACACTTTATAAAGAAGGTGATAGGAAATGTGTAGGCCTTCTGGGCTCCCTACGCCTTTGCTTATTTGGTTAGTCCAAGAAGTTATTTATTATTAGGGAATATCATTTAAATGTTTACAAATTTGAAGTAGACACATAGTGAGATGGATGTAATTACAAGAAAAAGCAAAATCTACTTTAATTTCTTTTTGCTATTTTTTTAGGAATCCTTTTTTCAGGATATTGACCTGCTACAGAAGCATGGAATTGTAAGTATTAGCAATGACTTTACCACACAGAATTGCCTACATAAAGGTATCGTAAGGTCATTTCTCCAAAATGTATACACATTGATACAAATAACTGAAGTTCCTCCTTGCAACAAATTCTAAATCAGTCATGTGAAGACAAATTTTGCCTTTGGTGATAAGACAGGTTTTCAGAAAAATCTCATTCCCATCAGATTCCTAAATGAAGTGGCAAGATATTCAAAGCATTTAGCACCCAGCACTCTTGAAAAAACAACTACTTGCTAATTTATTTGAAAACTGTGTGATAGATTACTTCCTGTTCCTGCCAATCTTTGTAATTACTCCTGCGTTTTTGGTGCCTGTGAAATTACACTGTGACAACTGTTGCTATACTATTTTCAGCATGCTGGTGAAGGAGGTAGAGTGGGAGTGAGGAAAATATTAGTAGCTAGAGAAATAAGTGGTTAGTTTTCTTCATCAAATATGAATTCCTATAATCATTATCATCATTATTATTATCACATAAACATCACCTATGTATTTGAATTACTATTTTTATATGTTTATCCAGGAGTCTGGTTCGTGGATCAGAGCCCTATTACATGCAGTGTTATATAAGCAGAAAAAAAAGTTGGGTTTGCCCAAAGTAATGTAAGATTTAACTCTAATATAAATGATGTACAAAGGATACAGATGAGAAGGACACACACACAATGAGACAGCATTAGTCAGCACTATAGTTACTGGGCTCAGCATGTCAGCAGCATAATTGTTGTCAACTTTTTTTATTTGCAACTCATTGACAGTTTTAAAGAGCTCTGAAGAAGGATCATAGGTTGAGAGCTCTAACTATGGGGCAACATAGGAAAAATAAACCAATTCTTGTGTTAAACATTTAACAAGTTGACCAAAGATGCTGACCTCATGAGCTGGAAGGGAGCTGTACTAGCCTTGTCAATATTAAATGAGGCATGGCATGCAGAGAATGATACTAACGTATGAAAGTTCTGGAAGATAAAAAATAATGTCTTGGGCTGTTGTTCTGGTTTAATAAGGGTTTCCTGCTCCTCTTCTTTTTCTTTTTTCTTTCTTCCAGGTGGTTATTCCCACATCCCACGGGAAGTTTTTGTTCTCCCCTGTGCCAGTTAAAATCTTTGTCTGAACATATGATGACACATATCTGTTCAATTAATTTGCTTAAAAAATAGTTTTTGTGGGTTTAGAATTTTTTTTTTCTTAGGAGTAGAGAGGGAAATATTTACTAGATCTGACAGTGTGGCCACAAAGAGTCGGATTAGCACAACCTAGGCTGTGGTTTGATGTTCCAAAGTGTTTTGTAGGAATTAAGGTGCTGTGACCCCGCAGCCTTTGCTGAGTGTTCCTGCCCCTGAAGCATGCTATCCCTTCTTCTGGCACATCTGTTTTTGTAATCACCTTGTGAACCATATTTGTGAATCACTCAGTCCAAAAATTATCACAACAAAAAATGCAGTTTAGGTTTTTTATTTGTAAACCCTCAGTCTGCTCCCTTTTCCACCTTAGAGGCACACAACTGGGACAGGGCTGCGTCATAAGGTAGAGGATCAGGAAAAGCAGCTGGTGTAAGGGGGCAGGTGTGTCAGTGCGCTAAGCCACCGGAGCACCGCTGAACACTTCACAGTATTGAACTATAGACTGAGGAGGCATATATCCTAGGACTTTAGCTGGAACATAAGCTGTTGGTGAAAGCTGTATCTGTGCAGGAGAGAACAAGAATTTCTAGAACCAGGTCTACCACACAGAACAGCCTTAAGTTTGATGTGACCAGAAAGACAAAGCCACTGAAGAAATGCAGAAGCAGGGTAATGCCTTTAAAGTTTTTGTCTAGAAAAATGATCTTTGCAGCAGTAGTATGTTGTCTTAATAGAAAACCACAATAAAACAGCTCAGTCCTTTTTATCTTGCTGGTTATTATACTCTTTTGGGTGGAAGAGTCATTTTTATTCACGACCGATTTTACCTCATCCATCTCTATTAATGTAATAATCAAAAAACACGTCACAGGATGAGAAATAAGCTTCCCAATGAACACGACTAATTTCTAACATAGCCCCACTCCATTCTTAACATCCTACACACCCACACACTCTAGATAAATAGATGATACGTCCAGTTCAACACTCTAGATAAATAGATGATACATCCAGTTCATAGTTTTTTTTCAAATAAAAACCTTGGCTTGAAATGGTAAATTGAAGTATTATCCCAAACATTTCACATAGTGTGTTTTCTTGTGAGTAATCTGTTGCTTGCCTTTAAGTTTCCAGTGATACCAGAATCATAAAATGAGGTGAGAGGAGGCAAAATGTGTTAGTAGGGCACTAACTCTAGTCATGCTGTACACAATTTATAAAAAACTCTAGTAAGTTCATTCCAGCCCAAAGTGTTGGTCAGATCTGGAGGACACATTTGTTTTAAGCTGGACATACTGTGAACATGCAGAAACAGCACAGCACTTAGTCAGCTTCCAACGATCCTTGCGAGTCAGCTCCCAATTACCCACAATCCGATTATCTGGTTTACAGATTATCTGTGCTGAGGGACCAAGGACAGACTTAGTGTTATAGGGTTTACTAGGCTAGGCTCCACACTATCTGAAATAATCCATACTGTTTCCTTACTACCAGCCTGGATCTAGAAAGACTGGCACTGAACAGCGGCGAGTAAATGCACTGGACCCAAGATGCCTTTCTCTCAAAAGCACCAGGATGTCTCTGCACCCTGATCCCTCACACCAGTGTTACTCAAAATTTTCTGTGGCTGCTACATAATGAAGCAACTACAAAATACATAATGAAGAGTTTACTGCAAATCTGTTCCTTTCTTGGTGAAAATACACATGCATATGAATGTGTAACAAAAAGATTTACTTCTCCTTCTACTTGTTAACTGTCACAAGTACTCACAGAAGGCAACTTTCTTCACAGAACGTAGCAGATATTAAAAAATTGAAGTCAGTTGGGATCTGCACGATCAAAGGAATCCAGATGACCACAAGACGGGCTCTGTGCAATGTAAAAGGGCTTTCAGAGGCCAAAGTGGACAAGATTAAAGAAGCTGCAAACAAGCTTATTGTAAGTCATTTTTCTCATAGTTTAAGCTTATGCTGGCCCCTCCAAAATGCTGTGCAATGTTTCTCTCAGATTTTTTCACTACATCATCAAGATAATTTTGAAAATTGTTCTCCTCGTTACTCTAAAGATACAATACTTCATACTCTACAACAACCAGACAAATGCTGTGGTGCTTTTCATACCCAGCCTGTGTAAATGAGGCTAGGGTGGAGAGAAGGTATTTGTGTGGGATATCGCACTTCATCTTCAGGTGAAAGCTAAAATAAATCTCTCATGTTATGTTTGGTCTTCCTTAGGAACCAGGCTTCCTGACTGCCTTTGAGTACAGTGAAAAACGGAAGATGGTATTTCATATTACTACTGGCAGCCAGGAATTTGAGTAAGCTTATCTATACTTAAATCCTTGCTTAGTGCAAATTGTTCCAATAATTGTCTTTAATGAGACACAAAAATATAAAGGAACAAATATTCAGCTAGGATGCATAGGTTACCTTGCATTTGGAGCTAGTGCTGGCTCAGAGACGCCTGCATCAGTAAGCAATAAAACCAGGTCCTTTTGTGAGGGCAAACCAAGCTTTGTACAGTCACTGTAAATGAACGGCGTGTGCATCCAGAAATCATTTTTAAAAGCTAGTCAAAACAACCTGCAGGTCTCAGGTCAAAATTATAAGTCTTCAAGACCTCCATTTTTATGGAATATTATCTTTTCAAAGGTATTTTCTCGTCTTTCTTTCCAGTAATAATTTCTATAGATCTCTTGCACACAGAGAGGGAGGTTGAGGCAGAGTTAATTCTTTATGAATCAGTGATCATTTAGTGCCTTGCACTTAATGCATTAAGTGAGGGGCTTTAAGGCAGAAGTAACTTTTCTTAAAGTAGCAAAAATTTCTCTTTTTTACTTTCCTCTTGTGATTTTGTGGGTTTAACTATATCTTAATCTTCTCCCTTTCCACAGTAAACTTCTGGGTGGTGGGATTGAAAGCATGGCAATCACTGAGGCCTTTGGAGGTGAGAAAACCATATTAAATGAGTATAACTGAACAAAGAATTGCAACTTAATTTAGATTTTAAATCAAGCTGGATTACTTCTATCAAACATCACATTGTAGGCATAAAGATGAGTACCTGCATGAGTACAAGAAGAGAGAGTCCACTTCTCTAAGTGTTTTCCCATTTTTTGTCTTCTTTTCCTTGCAGACTGTTTGAGCTGAGTAATCATTAGAATTGGGGCATGCTGATTCAGTACAGCATAGCATTATTAATACTAACGTCACATAGGAAAGATTTACCTGACTCAACATGTGTTCCTTTCCAATAACAAAACTGCCAGATTTATGCACACTTAGGATACACTGCAGTTCATATAAGATTTTGAAATCACAATTGTTGTTATAGTAAATTTGATCAGTTAGTGTTTAACACTTCAACAACAATAAGAGTTCATAAAACACAGTACTCTTCTCTTTAGAAAAGATAAACGGGACACTGACATGATTTGACATATTGCAATTAATAAACTCATAAGCTTCTCCTTGATCATTTTACTGAAAATGAAACTGGGCCAGGTCAGTGGAATCAAACATTTCTTTCCCTCCGCCCCCTCAATTAACATGTTTCCACATGTGCCATGTGGTATTTAACTTCTACACACTAAAGAATAAATGACCTCAGCTGTTCAAGCATGATCAAATTAAAGCATTTCAAATGTAACAAATTTCTACTGCACAGAATATGATTTATAAATAGGTGTTAAATGATTTTAAATGGTAGAGATAGAGGTGAATTTTGTAAGTAAGAGTGTTTCTAACTGCAGTAACTCCTGAATCTGGCAAACTCAGAAAAAGAAACCCTGACCTTTTTTTCTTTTTCTTTATTTAACAGAGTTCCGGACAGGCAAAACACAGCTATCTCACACCCTTTGTGGTAGGTGTACTACCTTAAACCAGAGAGCTGTTTCTCCTCAGTGAATCCATTCCTTACAACTATATCAGAATTAAACACATAGAGACAAGTCAGAATCTTTTATTTCTAGAAATACAGTGAAACAGACCTTGGTGACTCTAACCTTCCTTGCTCGTCTTTGAGCAGAGAACTCATATAAATGATTACATTTGATACTGCTCACATCATTGTAAGTTTTGCCATACAGAGAGAGAAGGTAATAGACTGTCTTAGAGAAACCAGTGGAACACACTGTCTGGAAAAGCGGAGTACAAATACGGTTTACAGGTGGAGAGGAGCATTGCTCAGAAAAGGGCAAAGGCAAGATTCTTTCTCAGCAACTCTTTTTAATTTCAAGAGGTTTTGCTGAATATGACATTCTGAAAGGGCACTGAAAGAATACTACTGACTGACAGTAACTGGATAAACAAAGACTTTGGCAGTTACCGTATTCGGGCAGTGCCAAATACAGCAGGACTCAGACTTCCCAGCGATATCTCTGAATGTGAAAATACTAGTAAATAATAACTAATGTAACTATTAGTGCTGCTGGAATATAGCAACCAGACACTGAATAGGCAAACGTTCCCTTAAATTAACCCTATATTATAAAGGGAATTATGGCACCTTCTGGAAAAATCAGGCCTCTTCCATTTAATAGTCTAATGGTCATCAGAGTCATACCCTTTTGCATGAATGATTACAACTGAATGAATTGAGTATTTTAGCTTATTCACTCCAAAGAGACTAAACCTACAATCAGTAACTAGTCACATATCAGGGAAAATTCATATCCAAAGAATTTTTGATCACATGAGTTACAGCTGGAAAAAACCCTACTAAATCAATGCCATTAATTTGGGCAGAGGATTAAGAGGATGCTTTGTGCATAAGAACTTCATAATATCTTTACCTATTTTTAACAGAAAATATACAGATTTAGTGATGGTACTGAGTAAAACACAATTCTGACACCATTAGTTGAATCTCATCTGATCCCCAATCAAGAAAAGTGGCTCAAGTTTCTTCTCAAGCTGGCAGCAATACTTGAGATACTTGTGATTCCCACATTGATTAAAACTGGTGGTTCTCTGTCATATGGTTAAGCAGTCATATTTTATTAAAAAATAATCATAGAGGGAGTAAGAAAATATTTTTCCTGCTTTTTCATTTGGTCTTCTATGATTCACTGTAGTGACGGCTCAGCTTCCAGGACCAAATGGCTACACAGGTGGAAAGATTATCTTCATTGATACTGAAAACACTTTGTATCTTTTGGACCATTGAAAGCTACAGGTATGATGAACTGGAAAGACAGTTCATTTTGTTATAAGCAAGTAGGAGGCTCCAGATAGCTTTGTATATGTAAAACATTATGACTGACACAGAAAGCCTGGAGAGTACAGTGTGTAGTGGCCCACAAGGCAGTGACTTTCTTCTCTGTCATTTGATGTAATCCAACCTGGAAAAATTAGTTAGGATACAGATTTTATTTCAGCTGTTTTTTGAGAGCTAATATGCCTTCTTCATAATGATACAGGTGATAGAAGCTTTTCTATTTACTTCAAGAGAAATTCATCTAAATACTAAACGCTATTTTTAACGCTTCGTATCTGTGGTAGACTGTGTATAAATAGTTTTTTCTCACAGCTAAATTCCTAGAGCACCAATATCCATATGTCAACCCCCCACCTCAAACCCTAAACACAAAACTGCTATCATCATGAGCCCTAAACTATCTTTATGGTATGTGGGACAGTGTGAAGAGAAAAAGCCAGCCTTCTCTAGGATCAAAATAAATATTCTTCTTTGTTTTTCCATAGTTCTATTTTGGAATGGAGTTTTATTATTTTCAGAGCATGGTTTGTACAAAGAGAAACCCTTAACTTTGACAAATGTCAGCCGACCAGACCGTCTTCGTGACATTGCTGATCGTTTCAACGTTGACCACGATGCAGTACTTGACAATGTGCTGTACGCACGTGCATATACGAGTAAGACTATTATTGCAACTGGCACGATATCTATGTTTCTTCTCTAAGGCTCCTATTTTAATAGTTCTCAGTTTGTTAACTGTGCTTGCCCACTGAAGATCATAAAGAATGTTTTGTTGCTAAAAAAGAAGCTATAAGCTTGCTTCCATTTTCTGTTTCTGGTGAGCAGACTTGCTCAGTGGAAGTATTCCAGCTCAGCTGCACTACATAAAGTTTTGCAGTTTGCTACGACATGAAGTGAACTCCGCCATGTATATGATGGGTGTCAGCGTAGCATCTTAGTAAGAGAAGCTCCAATTAATGTAACCATGATTGCCTGAATGTAAGCTAATTCTGTAAATGCTGTTGAAAAATTCTCTTATGGTCTTGTGAATGGAACTTTATACGGGCAGCTCCAAGACACTCCGTCACAAGACACTGCATTAAAACTTCAAGGAAGTTTTAAACGGGGCTTTTACTTTGGGAGTACATTATGAACACGAATAATATGATCAATACTATTTCTGTGTGTCATTTAATTCAACATTAAACTCAGATGCTTATATTGCTTTTCAGTTCTTAACAAAATGTTGTCTTCATGCATAGTTTTGTTGTGAAGCTTTTCACAAAGAAGTTTTGTTAGCTGGGCAAGTGGAAACTGGAACCTGCAGAAGCATGGGCACTGCTGGCTACTGTTGAGGTAGCTTGTTATTGGGCACTGGATTTAAAACTGCTGGCAGTGAAAATATAAACAGTGCAGTCATTTAAAGTGGAATTTTAAAATTCAGGCTTTTGTTGCTTCAGAGCTCTTTCTGGTCCTAATTTCATCTAGCAACTGTTACTTCCCACCAGGTGAACATCAGATGGAATTGCTTGACTATGTAGCAGCCAAGTTCCATGAGGAAGCTGGTATCTTCAAGCTATTGGTACAAGACTTTTTTTTTTTTTTTTTGGTATGCTTATGGCTTTCAGAATATGTTTTTCTTTCACTGTATTTACTTACCTAGCATAATTACAATGCAGATCATTGACTCCATAATGGCACTTTTCCGAGTGGATTTCAGTGGTCGTGGAGAGTTGGCTGAACGACAACAGAAACTTGCTCAGATGCTGTCAAGGCTCCAAAAAATATCAGAAGGTAAGGGAAACATTGTGAAGTCTGGAAAACATGGACTGGAGTTACTGAAACAGTAGCTGCTGGTAGGACAACCACTTAGTAGTCTGAGTGTATTATCAATCAGGCATTGGCCCAGAAAACTTTCTTCGCTTTACACCTCTATCAGTTACCAAAAAGATCAAACTGATGTATTATTTCAGGATGACAGATTAAGGAGTCTTTAGAACTATTCAACATTTCAAATTTTCATAGAAATACTGTTAAGAGAAGTCCTAAACAAGAGAATAGGTTGTAGAACTGGACAAATATCTAGTAAGAGAAATTGTGTTGCCCAAATTTTGACAGTCTAAATACCTGAGAAACATGAAAAACGGAAAAAAGTCACAGAGAGATAAAAAAGCCGTGCCCATTGCCACATTCCCAGTATTTTGTGATGCTCTGAGGGATGATGACAGGATGAATAGGGTTCCTCCTCTTTGGGATGTCTCAGAAATGTTGATGAGGAATGAATAAATGTTTTTTTATGCAGTAAACAAAATAAAAAAACAACAACAGAGTAGAGACAAAAGGAGGGAGAGGGAACTGAGGGCAGGGAGCCAACAGAGATGGGAACTGAGAAAGACTTCTTCAGTGGAATTCTGAAAAGTGCTTATTTTTTGGCATAAGTATTACCGCTGAAGTCACACAGCAGCAAATTTAGGCTGCCTCCTGATTATCTCCAGCCTTCAGACATAAAGAATATTTGTTTTTCTTTCATTTGAAATTTGAAGTGCTTCAGCAGCATCCTTGCTTTTACCATGGATGGGAGAATATTTTGGAATTCTAATTGGATATAGTCCACCTTCTTTGCATTGTTTTCTATTGCAGAATATAATGTGGCTGTGTTTGTGACCAACCAGATGACTGCTGATCCAGGAGCAACTATGACGTAAAATAACTTTTTCTCTTTTTAAAAATTTCTTATCTCTTTTGTATTGCATACGTAACAGAGATGAGAACTAAGATTGTATGGAGCAACAGGCACTGAAATGAAGGTTCAGACTGGTCACTGGTCCCTCTGGCATGATGAATCATTCATGGATGACACCTATAGGTTTCTCTCAGTTTTTGTACTGTGTTTTTTTATGTTTATCTTCTGCCTGGCATGATGGCTTCTTTCACTGTGGCTTGAACAAAGAGAACAAGCCATAAAAGGTGTTGAAAAAGCACCCCATTTTCTTTTGGAGCAGCTTATATGTGAAGTTCAAGGTGTATATTTCTTGAGCCTCTTGAATTTAATGAGAGGAAAATTATGCCAGCATTGAGCATTTGAACATCCTATCTTGAGGCAAGTGTGTTAAAGTCCTTTTTTGATATATTTACCTATTTATTATTCATTACTGAGTTCAGTGTGCCTCATCTGACAGTATTAACCTATGGAATTTGCACAGTGAATCATCACAATTTTCTTGACAATTTAGCTTTCAGGCGGACCCAAAAAAGCCCATTGGGGGCCACATCCTTGCTCACGCTTCAACTACCAGGATTAGTTTGAGGAAAGGGAGAGGGGAGCTGCGTATTGCAAAGATATACGACAGGTAAATCACCTTTCATTCACAGGAAGGGAGCTGCAACTGTCAGGTGATAAAAGTTGAGTATTGAAACTTAACAGCTTGACAGCCAATTCGTAGTTTCAAACTAACCACATTTCTGGATGGTAAGTTGAGAGAAAATCTGAAAGGACTAACTAACTAACAGACTTAAAGTTGTCTTGCATATTGCATACATTAAATTACGTAATCTTTCATCACATCCCGCTAGATGCTCATTTCTTAAAGACCATCAAATAGTTCGGTAATACTGGTGGTCCCTTGGCAGGAAAATTCCAGAGATGTTAAATTACTAAGTTTTGCTGACACAGTATCAGTTTACTTGGTAAGCTGTGGCAGACGCAGGTCATTAAAAACCATACTAGTGGAACTGCATGGAGAGACCAGTGTTTCTGGTCAGGAACTAAGAAATTGAAATGAGAGTTTGCACAGACAGAATCTTTCCTTCTCCGTTCCCCTCCCTTGTGTTTGTCGCCTTCCAAGAGGTGGATTTCACATTTTCTGATCTTGATAATATTGGTCATGTTCTACAGTTTGCACATAAAGACGCTGAAGTATTCCAGATTGCTTACATTTACAACATTTTGGGGACTGTTTCACAACTGCATTTAACATGGGGAAACTCACAAGTTCCTTGTTTCTCCCCGCCCGCCCCCCCCAGCCCTGAGATGCCTGAAAATGAAGCCACATTTGCAATAACTACTGGAGGGATTGGGGATGCCAAAGAATAGGCAGAAAACCAATGTACATGTACAGCTGAAAACCACCTGGATAGTTGGGATGAAGACTTGTGCAAGGTCACCAGCTGCCTGGCTGCATTCCTATCTTTTGGGAACCATTTGAGATATTTTGGGAGAACATTGGGATGAACTTGGTACAGTTCAGTTTTATTGAATAGAACTTGATTAATTTAGGATCTTCATTTTTCAGTTGAACTTTCAGCAGACACAGATTTAAGAAATAAGCTTGTGAATTGTTCAAAGACTCCTTTTCCCATATTTTGTGAAAATCAAAGCTGTCCTTTCACATGAGATTAATATACTTCTTTTTAGTTTCTTTCAAGGAGTGCCTATGTAGTAGAATTTAATAGTGTGAAATAGAACAGAATTGGAATAAACTCAGTTATAAAATTGACATAAATAGATGGAAAAGGCAGTGGAAGGAGGAAGAGCCCAAGAACTTGATGGACTCTCATGTACTGTAGAGGAACAAGTTACTTTAAAAATGCGGTTTTAGGCATTTTTATGTTGACTAGATAATTTCTGTATTTTTTTATTTAGCATTTTCTACTTTTGGAGATAATGTTTTAAAACTGTTCTTATTAAAGTTAAAAATAAAGATTATGAATTGGAACAGCACTCTGCTTATGTTTGGGTGCTGTGAATCAGACCCTACTCTCAGTAATCTCACTGATCTTTCATGAGAGAAACAAACCGGATGCGACCCAACATTTCAAAATCTTTTGTCTAGTTCTCTAAAGAAATAAAACTTTATATAATTGTCTCATCTACTTTATATATTGCCTCATAACAGCCTCACCTACTAAAGTAAGAATAGTAAAGTTTATTATTATTCTTGTTGTTGTTATGATTATTTTTATTATTATAAAGCAGAAGAAAACAAAAACAGTGGCTAAACAGGGGAGAGAGGCTGGCACCAGTACTGACACCGAGGGAAAGGCCCTTATGACTTCACTTGCCGAGAGAGCGTTCTGCCTGGCCAGCCAGTGCCAGTATGGCTCCAAACTAGCCAGAGATGTTTGTCACGGGGAGGGGCCGGGCAAAAGAAGAAGCCGGGAGTAAAGAGAGAAATGTGGGATCAAGGGACAAAATACCAATTCACTTTGCATTACCTCCATGGAATTTCTTGTTTTAAAATGAACTTAACAATTTGTATTTTAGATGCCTTAAGCGAAAGCCTTACTTCATCCTCTTGTATAAAAATGCTAATTAGAATGGGTCAAACTTTGGTGTCTGGTTAGAGAGCTTATCCTCACTGACGTGAGACTTTTTTCCATTTAGATTAATGAATGCATGTAAGGTAACATGAAGTAAAAAGGCAGCGATGATGAGAAATTCATCCAGGAAAAGCCTGACACTGTAGCCAGAGTTTACCTCATGAGAGAGCTAGAGAGTTTGCCTTTCTTGAGTGGTTTCTTCACATATCTTTGATATTTTTCCTACGGTAAAGCACTATTTTTCACAGTGGAGAGAAGTCTAGAGAGACAAAGGCAGGTGAGAAAGGCAGGAATGGATCAGCCGTTGTCGTTTAATGTAACGGCTCATTCTTTGCATGTGCCAGTCTTTCCCACACCAAGCATTCGTATCTAATAGCCAAGTACCCGAGTGTCAGCAAGAGCTTACAGTGTCACTTGACTCCCTCCCATCCACTTAGAAAGGCCCCCGTTTCTTCCAATATTTTATTTTAAGCACCAAGATTGCTTTTTGCTTTCTCGCATATGCCCTACATACAGCAAGTAAAACTAAAATGGTAAATAATTTTGCTCCTTCCAGGCTGTTATTTGTTTCCAAGGGTCTGAAAGTAAAGAGGACTTGCTTTCCCTTCTGCCAATGTAACTGTTTTTTGATTATCTGATGGCCCAGAAAGCACTGCCGATAACACAACTGCGGTTTGGGCCAAGGCTTGATTTGGCTGGTGTATGCAGGTCACCCACCAGACACTGCTGCTCGTGCCAGGACGGACCGTCTGGCTACTTGTCGGTAGGTGCTGGAAGTACACGCACAGCACTAAAGAACTTACGGTGTATGCCATGTAATTGCCTTATGGCTTTTTTTAGGTCTTTGCTAGGAGTCTCGGGGTCGATTTGGGGAGTCAAAGACTAGCAGGCCATAAACGTAATGTCTGTGCCGTGCCTGTTGTCCTTCAAGTACTTCAAAACATTTCTTCCATCACTTGCAGTAATGCCACAGTAAGCGAAGGGCTGAATTTTACCAGTTTACTTTCAGGAGAGGTTTCCATGAACCTCCTGCAGCTGCGGAGAAGTGCGTGTGACCCATGTTGGGGCCCGTTATGCCATTTTCTTCCGGCCTCCTGGCACTCAGGCAAACGCAAACATCATGGCTGCAGTCACTCCCGCTCCTGCTCCAGCGTCACGCCAAGATCCCCCTTAG